AGAGGGGCTTCCCTAGGCCTTCTCCCTAACAGTCCCCTGAACTTCCCTGATTTCTTTTTTCTCCTGGGCCCCATCCCCATCTACCAGCCCTGCATCGCCTTTCCATCGCCTGCCCCTGTCGACATGGGGTGCCCCACGGGGCAGTGTCCACCGCCTACCCCTGCTCTCAGAGCTGTGCCTGGCAGGTCGTTGGCGCTCGGTGACTATTGGTAAGAGGAATAAATCAACGAGTGTGCTGTGTGCTCAGGGCATATGCTCCAGCATGTGCTCGCACGTGCGCGTGTCACACAAACACACATGTGCTTGACATTCATCTTCATTGTTGCTCAAGCCCGGAAGCAGCTTTTGTCTTTCCCATGTGGCAGGGACCTCTTTGTCACTCCAGAAGCCAGAGAGAGAGAGAGAGAGAGAGAGAGAGAGGGAGGGAGAGAGAGTGTTTATTCATGTATTTCCCCCTTCAGTCACTCACCCTTTTCGTACTTTTGTAAGCATGAGGCTCTGCGGGGTGCCAGCTGCAGACACACGGTGTGCCACTCATGGGCATCCCACCTGCCTCCTCCCCAGGGTGTCCCCCAGATGCAGTGAGTGTTGGGTTTGGGGGTGGGATGAGCCCAGTTCCCCTCGGTGTCTCCCCAGTGGCCTTGCCCAGCACAACGTGGAGTGCCTCAGAACGCTTGTTGAATTGATAAGTTGGCCAAATACCTAACACGTGGGAGGACAGGGAGGATGTGCTCGGTGCCCCTGGAGCAGCCCGACTTGGTGCTGAGGGAGGTCTGACCAGGCTCTCTGGAGGATGAAGGCTCCCGGGGGGGCTGCGTGGAGGAGGTGGCACTTGAGCTGGGCCTTGATGCACCAGGAAGATTTGGATGTGGGGAGATGAGGTCTGGGGCTTTGTGGGCAGAGGAAGGCAGGCAGAGAGGAAAGAGAAACAGGCGAACAGATGGCCCCAGAGTAGGACAGCCGTCGTTGGTCAGGGCTGCTGGAGTCTGACTTCTTGCTGACTCTTGTCCCATGAGGGCGCAATAGGAAGGTGTAGCATCCCCAGCACCTGGAAGAGTGCCCAACACACAGTTGGTGCTCTAAGTGTTGGGCGACAGCAAGAGGGAGGCAGAGAGGGAGGAGCTGGCGGGGGGACAGGATGGGCATGGCTGTTGTGAAGGAGAGGAATGTTTTCTGAGGAGAATGTTAATCCAGCGCCTCCCTCCCTCTCGGCTGGGCTGCGGGGACAGTGAGAGCTGCGGAGATGCCAGAGCCCCACTCGGGCCAGGTTGTCACAATCCCCCTGCCCATGGGGTCCCCAGGGTGGTCCTTGCCTCTGCCCCTCCACTCCAGGCTGGGGTGGGGACGGGAGGGAGGGGAGCTTGGGGGGACCTGCCAGCCCCAGGAGATGTCCTCACTAAGCAGTAACTCTGTGACTACAGTGAGAGAGCTGGGGGTGGGAGGGGGAGGCACCAGGGACAGTGCTAGAGGGTAAAAACAGAGAGAGAGCTGCCAGGAGGAAGTGCAGGGGGAGGGATAATAACTCATATCAGAGCTAACCCTTGAGTGCTGACTGCCCGCCAGGCGCAGCCCCTAGCACCTCCTGTGAGTTCCCACACGTGACCCTCACAACCTTACGAGAAAGGGATTGGAATTATTCCCATTTTGCAGAGGAGGAAACTGAGGCCCAGAGAGGTGAAGTAACCTGCCCCAGGTTTCCCAGCCGGTGCACGGCAGACCTGGGATTTGAATCTGAGCAGTTTAACTCCCAAATCACTGCTTCAGGCCATCCTCCTGGGCACCTCAGGAGGGCCTGGAGTTGAGGAGGGAGCCTGCAGGGGGCGGGGTAGGAGGAGCTGGCAGAGGCGATGTTTACGAGGATGCTGGCTTATCTCCTGGACCCTGTTCAGGAAGCTGGCTCTACCCCTCCGCAACCCTCATCATCTCAGGGCAGGGTCCCTGTTCCAGGATCTCAGGAATGGTTGGGGGCGGCGCAGGGGCCCCCCCGGGCTTCAGAAATCAGAGGCCCTGAGCACTCCTGCAGGCTGACACACACACACACCTGCAGGAACCCCATGCTTGGCCCTCCCACCCTCTATGGGAATGAGGGTGTGCAGGGGGCAGGGGTGGCGCCTGGGTCTGAAGCCGGCTGACGCAGGCTGAGCTCACTGGGGGAGGCTCTGAGTCCCGGCACCTGGACAGCCACCTGTCCATCCGCTGTCCCTGCCCAGGCCGAGTGCCCGGATGGGAGGGGAGGGGGGAGGTGGCTTGGAAGGAGGCCCGAGGGGTGAGAAGTTGCCTCGTGTGAGCTGCTCTGGCCTGTTCTGCCACCAGCCCCAAGACCTCCCTGGACCTGCTGCCCCTCCTCCGAGCGGGCACTTTTGACTCCGGCCCTAAGGCCCTGTGTTGGGAGAACACATCAGAAGTAGGAGAGAAGCCGCTTCTAATCAGGAGGCGAGTGGATTTCTGGGTGTGTGATTAGGGCCGGCAGAGGTGAGCTGGCAAACAAACACGGCCATCTGCTCTCAGGGACCTGCTGTGGTGGCCCTCATCTCCGTTGCCAGCTCCAGATTCAGGGCGCTTCTCTTCAGAGGGTTGACCCCAAGGGTGACATTTATTTTGTTCTGTTGTTTTACCATCAAAAAATTTAAATGTAGGCATTTCAGACACGCACAAAAGTGCAACAAACAGGGCAGTGTACCTTCGCGTCCACACCGGTCAACAGTTGTCAGCGCTTGGCCAGTGTTATTTCTTCTTCCACGCGTTCCCACAGCGATTCTTTTGAAGCAAATCCCAGACCTCATCATATCACTTCATGCCTAAATATTTTAGTACATATCTCTGAAACGGTGGGTCTCAACTGGGGACAGTTTTTTCTCCCGGGGGACATTTGGCAATGTCTAGAGACATTTTTGGTTGTCACAACCGGGGGAGGGGTGTGCTACTGGCATCTAGTGGGTAGGGGACAAGGGTGCGGCTAAACATCCTACAAGGCACAGGACAGCCCGCCAACAAAGAATCACACCCCACTCCCCTCCACAAGCGTTAACAGCGCTGAGGTGGGGAAACGGCGCTCTAAGAGCTAGGGACTCAAAAACCAGCCAGCCAACCGCAGCTATGATACCATCATCAGACCTTAAAAATAACGATACTCTTTGAATGAATCATCAAATGTCCAACCAGAGTCCGCATTGTAGGGGGTGCTGCTTTCACGCTAAGTGCCCTCCAGGGCCGAGAGGACTGGGCTAGCGTTCAGACACTGCTGACCCAGGCAGGCAGAGGGACGCATGTGCTCTGGGACGTTCCAGTGAGGTCTGCTTTCTAAACACGTGCTGTATTTGCATAGTTCTACGTGGAAAACATACAGAGAGTCTAAGGTGGGAGATCCTGCCCAACCCCACCTCTAGCCCCTGGCTGTCTTCCGGGAGGCAGCTTTGCCCCTGTTTAGTTTCAGAGCAGGTTGAGTATATACCCCAGTGGAAGGTGGACCCCCGCACTGTCCCTGGGGGTAGGCACACCCTAGGCAGAGGCCAGGTGGGCAAACCCATGTGCAGGGGGCTCCCGGTGTCCTCTGGCTCCGGAATATTTTCCCACCCTCAGTTGCCACGTGGCCTAAAATTCTGGCCATTAATTTTTTTCTGCCAGGATTGAATCTTAATTATTCCTTAGGGGGAATCAATCTTCGATTTGACATCAGCCCAGATCAGTATGTCCAGCCCTTCACCCTGTCACCGTGGATGACTGAGGGCAGGGTAAAAGGTACACAGGAAGGGTACATGTTGGTGTGGACCAAGGCAGGGGGTGGAGAGCACGGGCCACTGGCCGGTCCTGGGGAGCCAGGGCAGACGAGAGCCCTGTGAGGAGGGCACCCGGGATGTGGGCGGGGGGAAGGTGGGGGAGGCTCAGGAGGGTCCACACGACCCCTTTCATGTCCCTTGGGAATGTTGGATGTCAACCACACGAGGAATGGCACCTTGAGAGCTCCATGTCCCACCTTTGCCTGGGGGGCCAGGTGGGAGGTGTGAGGGCAGGAAGGTGCCCTGTGACTGGGGGAGCCGGGCTGGGGCCAGGAGGCCCGGAGTCTGCCGTTGAGAGGCTGTGGCACCGGGTGGGCCCTTTGTCCCAGGCTGCGGAGAGAGGGTTTCTCGGAGGCCCCAGTCTCTCTGGCCTTCTGGGATTCAATCTGTGGGGTGGGGCGAGGGCTGTGGGAATCGGAACCTGGGCTCTGTCCCCTCTGAGCTGGGCAGGAGGAAGGAGCCTGGGCCCAGAGAGAACTGTGGGGATGGGGTCTGCTGGGTGGTGACAAGAAAGGCTGCCTGGGGGCAGGGAGTGGACCAGATAAACCCTCAGGCCCCTCTCACCACCCTCATCCCCACCCCATCCCCATTTCCACTCCATCCCTGGCCAACCATCTGGGGATTCTCTCCAGCTGGGATGTTCTAACTCTTTATGTAAATTGAGGCACCCAGAGGATCCCGTGGTGTGTGTGTGTGTGTGTGTTAGCACGTGCGTGTATGTGTGTACAGGCATGTGCGTTATCTCCTAGGACTCTGGGGTGTGTACGTGTGTGTTATTGAGGGACCACCGGCCACAAGACCTAGGTGAGGTGGGCTGGGAGACTTTCTAGAGGAGGGCTTGATGCTGACATGCCTCTCACTTCTCACCCTGATGCCAGCCTCACTCCTGCTGGGAAAGGGGAGAGGCCTGGGGAGAGACGGGAGCAGGGGAGCTGAGTGGGGGTGGGAGGCATTGGGACCCTGGGTAGAGCCAGGGGCGGGGCTGACCAACCATTTGCCCACTCTCTCTGGGCTTCAGTTTCCTCCTCTGTCAAGTGGGGCTGGGACCTATTCAGCCCATGTCAAGGGGTCTCCCCCAGGATGAGAGGAGGCAGTGCCCATGGGAAGGGCTGGGGGGGGGTCCCAAGGCCATGGGATGGGAGGCAGGTTGGGGTGTAGGGGCTGGTGCTGGCCGGGCAGGGTGAGGTGCCAGCCGCCCCCATCAGTGGCCCCTCTCGCCCCCAGATCCCCCAGATCAGCTACGCCTCCACAGCCCCCGACCTGAGTGACAACAGCCGCTACGACTTCTTCTCCCGCGTGGTGCCCTCGGACACGTACCAGGCCCAGGCCATGGTGGACATCGTCCGTGCCCTCAAGTGGAACTACGTGTCCACGCTAGCCTCGGAGGGCAGCTACGGTGAGAGTGGCGTGGAGGCCTTCGTCCAGAAGTCCCGTGAGGACGGTGAGTCCGGCGCCCACCCTCAGGGTCGTGCTTGGGGACGGGGGGATGTCACAGCGTGGTGGCCGAGCACTGCTCGGGAGCCACTCCCTGGGTTCTGCCTTGGGCTCTCCTGCCCTGGGCCACTCCCTCACGGGCCTGAGTTTCTCCTCTGAGCCTGTGGCCTTGTGGGCGGGTGGCTGGGTGACGGCTGGGGGCTGGGGGTGGATGTGAATGACTTTTGCGGACATGGCTGGGTAGACGGAGGGACTGTCAATATCCCCAGCATGGGAGCTGATGGAACAGCCCCTGTTCTCAGGCAGAGAGGAGGAGAAGGAGGTGGGGATGGAGGTGGGCTTGTTCAGTGGGGTCTCAGAGACCCAGGAGCCAGAGGCCAACCAGCAGCTTCTTGGAGCAAGGATTTGTTTGAGGGACTGGGAATCAGAATCCTTAAACTTGGGCCGTGTGGTGAGGGGCAGGGGCTGCGGTGGGGCTGTGCTGGCCTCAGGGAGGTAGGTGCCCTGTGGGTGGGATTCGGGGAAGGGTGGGAAAGTGACGTGCTCTCCTCGGATCCTCCGCACTTACCACAGGCCCCCTTGCCCCGCCGAGCTCACTGCGTTCCTGAATTGCCATCCTCAGAGTGGTAAAGCTTCTAGTTATCAGCAAGCAAGGAGAGGCTAAGCAAGCAGGGGTTACCTCCACGGCAGGCCCAGACCTGGGCCTCTGGCCGGTCCTTTCCGATGGTCACACTGAGGCAGGACAGCCTGTGTGGGACTGTGTGTGTGGGCATCCAGGGCAGCAGACAGGCCCCTGGGTTGGGGGCTCCACCTGGGCTGGTGAGCCCTGCCAAGCTGATTCAGAGCTGCGGGGGCCAAGGAACGGCTCCTGTGCTGCGTGGGGCATGGAGGAAAGCAGGGAGGCCCTTCCGCTCCTGGTGGACCCTCCTCCCCGCAGACAGGGGCCCTCTGCCTCCTCTCCTGGCCTCTCCCAAGGCCCCGTCTCTAAATAGCTCACTGTGGCGCCCTCGACCTTGGGGGATGGCATCTCTATATTTATACCCGGAGAACCCCGGAACTCTAATTGTTTTTCCTAAGGACCACAGAGTGTCCAGAGGCTGGCGTTGGTAACACCCTGCAGGCATAATCCTGCTATAAATCTCAGACAAGCCCCTTTAATTGTACAGCCGAAGCAGCTCGGGTTCTTGTAACCTGGCGGCGAGGGCGGCAGGGTGGTGGAAATGGGGTAGTGCTGACTGATGGCTGCGGCTCCAGCAGCTGGGCCCCCACGGAAGGAAGCAGGGGGTGGACAGACCCCATTCCCACCTGCAGGCAGGCTGGGCAGTGTCAGACTCCAGCTCCCCCCCCCGCCCCTCCCTCTGACTGCCCACAAATCCTTTCTTTCTTTGCTCAGACTTGGGTACCTCTCTGCACTGGCTCCACCCATCCTGCAGGCTCCTCTTCTCCCTGATGGCTTGAGTCCTTCTCCAAACGAGCCCACTGCCTTTCTGATTCAGGTGCAACCTCTGTTGGATTTGGGGACAAAAGTGCTGGATGGGGGCAGGGACAGAGGTCCAGAATCTTAGTGTTCGGTTGTGTTTGGTCCCTGCCATAGGGACCTGGAAGCCACCCCGTGTACTCAACATAGCCTTCCCTATGCTGCTGGCACATGCCGAGCCCCTGTTTATACCGGGTGTTCTGGGTAATCTGCCCCACCAGATGAAGCAGGTACCCCCGTTTTCCAGGGAAGGAAGCTGAGGCTCAGAGACACCAAATAATTGGCACCAGGTCACAGAGCAAGTTAGAGGTGGAGAAGGGATTTGAATCCAGGCGAGCTGGCTCCAGGACTAGAGGTCTTAACTGCTTTGTATTTTTGTCACTCTGTCTTCTGCCCATTTCCCACTGCAGTAACTGAGACCCATGTGGACCAGTCCTGTGCAAGGGATGGGGGTATGACAGTCACGCGTGCGCACGCGCGTGCACACACACACACACACTTGGCCTGGAGGGACACATGCTGATGTGTTAAGCGTGGGAGAGGCATGGGATTGGGGTGAGGTCAGGGCATTGCATTTTGGCTGAAGCTAAGGCTACCGTTTGAATTTGCTGCAAGCATCTAATCAGGCATTGAGCAGTTAGAAAATAGAAAGTCTACTCAAGATTTTTAAAAGGAACCCTAGAAAAATAAGAGAACTAGCTACTCTGCCCGGGCCCAGCACAGGGGCACAGCTGTGCCCCTGCCGCCTGCACTCCTTCCCATTGCTGAGGGTCTGACCTCCCACCTGGCCGGACCTCCCTCATCCGCAGACCCCCTGGCAGGGTGTGCAGCCCTGGGGCCCTGGCTGGGCAGCTAGGTCTTCCTGCCCGGCCTGCTAAATGAAATTTGATTTGGAGAACCATCTTTAGGCAAATGAAAAGAAAAGGAGAGAGAAAGCCATGCTCCAGCTGCCCAAACTGAAATCAGAATTGAGTGGCCAGTAGAAAGGGGCCGCTGTACCTTTTGCCTAATTCCTGTGAAAGATTAAAGATGTCTTTGGCTGTATATCGTATTGATTCGTCCTCTGAAGTATAAATCATCTTCACGTTGCTAAGAGGAGTGCCAGGGAGCGGGGAGGACGGGAGGGTGCACTCGCCAGGCTGAGGGTGTACATCAGAGCCCTGGTGAGAGCTCAGCCAGCAAGTCCTGGGTGCCTCCTGTGTGCTGGGCTCTGGTGGGTCCTTCAGGGTGCATTTTTTTGGCCTTTTTTTTTTTTTTTTTTTTTTTTGCTGTATGCGGGTCTCTCACTGTTGCAGAGCAACGGGCCTCTCCCGTTGCGGAGCACAGGCTCTGGACACGCAGGCTCAGAGGCCATGGCTCACGGGCCTAGCTGCTCTGCAGCATGTGGGATCTTCCTGGACCGGGGCACGAACCCGTGTCCCCTGCATCGGCAGGCGGACTCTCAACCACTGCGCCACCAGGGAAGCCAATGGCCTTTTTATAGATGAGGAAACTGAGGCCAGAGAGGGTAGGTCACTTTCCCAAGGCTACACAGCCAGAACGTAGAGGAGCTGGGATTGGAGCCCAGCTCCATCCTCTGGGTGGGGAGCTCCTGGGTAGCACCCAGCACTATTGGGCCGTTGGCACAGGGCTTAGAGAAAGCTCTGGCGCTGCACTTTCCAGTCCCCATCAGCAGTGCCCTCCCACCCCAATCACTTGGTCATGTGGATTACGCCCTGAGCCAGCCTATGGCCCTTGACTGGACCCTGCACTGTGCCAGGCAGCCTCACTGCACTTTCATGAATCCTGATGACAGTGTTTTGTCCCCCTTTTACAGATGAGGAAACTGAGGCTCAGATGGGTGAAGTGGCTGGCCCAGGCTCACACACTGAGGTGTTGGAGCAGGACTTGGAGCCAGGCTGTCAGCCCTCGGCCCTTTACCCCACGCTATCCGTCTCCCCCAGCTTATATCACAGAGATGGCAGTGCATGGTTAAGGAACAGGCCTCAACAGACAGACCTGGGCTCCGACTCAGCCACTTGCTGGCCACGTGACTCTGGGAAAGTCACTCAGCCTCTCTCGGTTTTGGTTTCCTCATCTGCGAAGTGGGGATGAAACTGGTTGTTATCAGAATGAAACGTGCTCCCGGCCCATGGAGGTCGGCGCTCAGGAACGCACATTGGAGGGTCTGGCTGCCTGGGCCCCAGCCCTCCCTGGTGCCAGCCGCTCTTGGGGAGGCCCGGGGAGTGATGGAAGGCCCGAGGGGGTGGTGCTGGGCCCTGCGTGGGGCCACAGGCAGTGTCCAAGGACAGGATGAGGGACAAAATCACGGGAGCCCAGGCCAGCCTGCTTGCCCTGGTGTCTGCAGCAGGTCGTGGGCGTGTGTGTGCTTTTGTGAGGTGTCGGGCGCATCCCCCATCTGTGTGGTGTGCGCTCCTTCTGGCTGCAGGGCTCCCCCTCTCCCTGCCGGGCAGAGGCTGCCCAAGGGAAAGGCTAGGGACACAACCAGGCCTGGGACTAGGTACGTAGAGCAGGCCCTGCCTGGGCTCTGAAGATAATGTGAGTGAGTCACCCTTGGAGGGAGATGAAGGCTAGAGGGGGTGGCACAGGTGGGGCCCCGCCCTCGGTGCCTCCCACCACTGTCCTGGGCGCTTTCAGGGGTTGGAGTCTGGAGTATGAACTTGTATACCCCCACAGCCTTTCCGTATCAGTGGGGCCTTGTGTGAGCCTCAGTTTACTTGCACTAGTGCTCCATTTCACAGATGAGGACAACCAAGGCTCAGGGAAGTCAAGGGGCCTAAGATCACAAGGAAGTGTTGAGTGTCAGAGCCCAGGGCTCCTGTGTGGGTGACAGGACAATGGATAATATTAGTAGGTAACATTTATGGAGCCCTCCTGTGGACCAGACCCCATTTTATGTGCTTCATACATGTTAACTCATTTGTCTTGCAAGACAACTCCATTATACAGATGGCAATACTGAGGCTCAGAGAGGTTAAGTAACTCCCCTGAGGCCACACAGCTGGAAAGTAGCAGGAGTGGGATTTGAATCCAGCGTGGCCTCCTGATCTCTGGTGCACGTCATAGGAAGGACACACAGGTCAGCTCTGGGCAGGGGCATCTCCATGGGGCCACCTTGGGAGTTTGGTTCTCTAATGAGTGATTCTAGCACCCTGGGCACATCTAGGCCTGTACTCCTAGGGTGAGAATGGGAGGGCCTTTCTGGGTGTGGAGGGAAGGGACGTGGGAGCCTCAGGCCTGCTCCTTGAAGGATGTCCTGTCCCTCGCACGGTGGAAAATTTAAAGTCTCATCTCCCTGCTGTGTCCCCGCATCCCCCATTGGTATTCCGGAGATGTTGGTGAGTCAAGCTGTTGCTGGTCTGACCTCCAGGTCCAACTCCCAGGGCTGAGCATCAGACTTGCATTTAGATGGGCCCGTCCGCGCGGCGGAGTGGCAGGGCTGGCACCTGGAGGCCCAAGGCTGGGGCACCTCATCCCTCTGGCTATGTGACATCTCTAGACTCAACTTCTCCAGCTGTAAACAGAGGCTC